TCTCATCATCCAGTAAGTCAATATCTATAGGTGGAAATTGAGAAATAGAGGCTACCAAACAAGTGAGAAATGGAAAATATTATTTCTAATAATTCAATGAAGAAAGGCCGTATTCAAGAATATATGAAAAATACGAGAATTAATTCCTCCTCTATGAATCACGAATGTGACCGAGGAGGCCAAATCACAAGTAAGATGGCCGGAACCCCAGCATAACAGAATGTATCGCCAGCTGAAGAATTAAATTAATTTCTATTAACAGATGCACAGTTATTGCCGAATTTTCATTTAAGCTAAACAGTTAATTATTCTATACTAACTTAGATAGAAAAAACTAGCTAATTATTCCAGTTGAATATTGATGAAAAAGGAGAAGGGGAATTTGTCCAGATATCATAGACTAGTCAGCTTTTACATATTTGTCCTCAACTCTCCGTGGACGGCTGTCAGCATTTTTACATTTCCCTTCACTCTAGGTTGATGGTGTGGTCCATAAAACTGACCTATCTGTATCATTGAATTGTCGTCCTACCATCTAAGCAAGCGTAGAAATTATCAATAACTTCTTCTGTAAAAATAGAAAAAATTCTACACTGTAACAAAGAAGAAAAACAGAGAAAGAAAAGCAGCAAAAATGAAGAACGGAGAAAATTATAAAAAAAAAAAAAAAAAGAAATAAAAAAAGTCTTTTATCGAAGAGAGGTAGAAGTTCTGTAGTGTCCTTAAATCAGAAGTGGTACCTTGCAAATGATATATAAAAATGAGAAGATATAATATTGGCTACACAAAAGCTGTTCTTTTTCACTTATTCAAAAAGCTTAATCATTTACTTTTACATAAAATCTGGAGCAAAGCTGAAAAAGTGAGCTTCAGTAATCTAATGAGCATGACCTCTACTGGTCAAATTTTCTTATACTGTAGATTGACCTTGACACCGTAGAGTTGGAGTTTTAGAGAAAATCTTCAGTTATTTCAATTATAAATGTAGTCTTGACTTTAAATAGTAAATACTGCTTCAGATTCCTAAGTCAAGAAACTAAATTGTGTACACTGGAACCCATGATTAGGCAATATGCATTCAAGCTAATGTTTATTACCTGCCTATCAGTTCTATTAAAAATAAAAAATAAAATTGAAAAATTGAAACACACCGAGAGTTGGAACCATGAAGATATCAGATAAAGATTTCCCCTTACTTTTTGTCATAACCTTTTTTATGTCCATCCAAAAAATATTTTAAGCTACAGATATTATAACTACTATGCAAATCGTTAGAAATGGTTTTAACTGGCGGAATCTTTGGATTGGGATTCTTTAGCCATGGAAATTCCAAGGGAATCAATGTCATGCTAAGTCAAATGTGAAAAAGTGAGTGGAAGATGACATTCGTAAACTGCCATTGCACAAAACAAATACCATTTGAGGAACTGCTCGAGGAGGGTCAGGAAATTGCTATCAAAAAATTCCCTCCAGGGACCAGATGAGTTCAAGAATGAAGTTAAACTTCAGCATCGAAATCTCATGAAACTTCTAGGAGTCTGCATTCAAAGAGAAGAAAAGATGTTGGTTTATGACCACCTGTCTAATAGAACTCTAGACTTGATTCTGCTTGCACAATCAGGTCAGACATTCTATCAGTAGTACCAATTATATTAATAACATGGAGAAGTCTCGCACTCATTTTTCAAATCCCAGAGCAAAAATTTTCCGATCTGTTGTATTATAGAGTACAGAGCATAGTTATTGTTCTACACATGCAGATTCATGCTACAGTATGCTTGAGAATATTTATTTATAGATACTGGGATTGATTTCTCTGTTCTGATTATTCAACAAACAAATTATCCTCGTGAGCAGAGAAAAAGTTTTCGCAGATCCAATGCAAAGTGCAGCGCTTGATTGACATAAGCGCTTGTACATGAACAATGGTATTGCTCCTGGTTTTATATATCTCTTGTTGAGAATTATAAACTCTAATTCTATAAAAATAAGAGCACTAAAATCGTAACAAGGAAAAAAGACACAAAAGAACAAGCA